CCCCAAAACCCCAAAACCCCAAAACCCCAAAACCCCAAGATTCAATAATGAATTTAGTAAGTTTTATAGTCATAATCTAAAACTAATTCATTTTTTATTGCATAATTATTCATTTCATCCCCATCCATTTCTTGAGAACTATGTAAATTGGCCAGATCAGAGTAGCAAGAGTTTTGCCTTTCAAGTATCCTTTAGATAAGCTACATTTAAATTGAATTAAAAAGATCTAAACTTACACGAAACCAATAACAAGATATATGATTATGGCAAATATTTTCCTTTTCAAGGCAGCTACAAGATCTGGACCTCTCTTCTTTAGTCTACCAAATCTCAGAGCTTTTTCATTGAAAACACCAAACGGTTTGAGCTTGCTCTTATCTTTCAAAAGATTCATTGCAAATTATAAAACTTTAGCATGGATTTCATCCTTGTTTGGCTCTTTTTGAAGTTCATGGAAGCAGTCTTTGTATTCTACAATTACATTTTATTATGAACCAGCCTAGCTAAGGATCCTTCTCGCGTCTTTATTATTAACAAGAAATTCTTTTTCAGCAAGCATCGTCAATGTGGGATATTTGTAACTATAGTAAAAAAGTTAAGTATGTTATGATGACATCATCGGTCTATATATATGACACCTACTCTTATATATTCACTGGTAGATCGGAATGAAAGTCAATGATGCTATCAATTTATCCTAGAGACATGAAAGGGATGAACTTTCTGTTTTAAAGGAATTCTCTGAATACGATTTTATCTCTGCAAACTAAATGTACTGGAATTCTTGGATTAACAACGAATTCCTATTTATAAATTTAAAGTTTAGTATTTTACCTCTAACTCTGGTGCTAATAGTTTGACTGTCAATTTTTTTTTGTCATCAAGTTTTGCGCTTTCATGAACACCAAGGAATGGAGCACTTAAAATAACTCCAGATACATTGAGGGTCGGATTGTTTACAAGGAAAGTTAAAATAGTTAAACCACCCATACTATGGCCATAAATCAACAAAGGTAATTTAGGGTTGACTTATTGAAGCAAAGCTACCACGTCATGATGTAAATCTGAAATTTTCCACATGTTCATCCTGACTCCACCAGTCATTCCGAACCCTCTTAAATCAATTAGGTGCACATCAAAGCCATTAAGAGCGTATTGAAGAGCACTCTCTAGGAAAATATCTGAATTCTCTCCATATCCATGAACTATAGCCATTGTAGCTTTGAAATCATCGTCATCAATAGTATTATCTCTGATATTTGTGTGATATGAGAACATATTATCGCATAATCCATGACTCTTCACGTATTGTCTTTTCATTGTAAGAGTACCAATGATTATTTCTCCTTCGTGTAAAGTTTCAATCGAGTTCAAGCCTTTACCGTAGTAGTCAAGGTCATAAATGTGAACGTCTTAGAGTTGCTCCACTGCAAACTTTTAGCGATACTAATGATTTTAAAATGTGTGAAATGCCTATTCCATTAGCTAATTAAAAATTATACTTTATCAATTCCCCAATCACATAATTATCTTAAAATTAATTGTTGCGGGGTTTTGGGGTTTTGGGGTTTTGGGG